TCTAACAGCAGAGACAGATGTGAGCGTTGCTGGGAACTCAACCACCGGCGTGACAAACTCCGCAGCACACCAGTCGGGAGGCTCACCATCCCCCTCGTCCTCCCCGCCTCTCTCTGTGTCCACCCTGGGACCCCAGGTGATACCACGCAGACACGCGCCGGCCGACGTTATCGCCAGGCAGGGCTCCTTCAGAGGCTTCCCGGTCCTCAGTCAGAAAACATCTCCATTCAAACGACAGCTGTCACTGCGCATGAATGAGCTTCCCTCCACCATGCAGCGCAAGTCCGACTTCCCCATGAAGAACACAGGTGAGTTTGGGATCCTGACCAACTGTCCTCGTCCTCAGCTCCTTTGTCTTTCTACATGACTTGCTGAAGACCTTCAAGCACAACTGTCTGTATTTGCAAGAAAATCACAAAGTTCCTTCTTATTGACTTTTTGTGATTACTAATTATTCATTATTGTAGTTGAAAAACTATTACATTCAACAACAAACACAGAGATGAGTCTTCTCATTTTCTTCTAATAACTTTTCTCAGTGTCCTCATTGAAATTAATGGAGAAGAGGAAATGCTTTGGAACTTTGTGCCTTAATAGAAGAACTCAAACTTGCTGAGAAACCTGAGAAACTTTCTTTAAGTTATTTTCTTTTATTTCTGCTTATTATTTTATTTATTTGATATGAATGTGCTTGTCTGTTGTCTGAGAAAGAGGACAAGACATGTCTTATATTGTACTTTGCAATATATGTTCGTAAAGGAAAATGTCTATATATTAAAAATGTCTTTGTTTCCCCTCCAGTCCCTGAGGTGGAAGGAGAAAGTGACAGCATCAGTTCGCTGTGCACTCAGATCACCTCAGCTTTCAGCGGACCCCCAGAGGACCCCTTCTCCTCAGCACCAATGCCCAAACCAGCTTCATCTCCACAGTCTCCTGTAGCACCAGGTAACACCGACAAAAGCTCTTCTAAAACCCCCTAATGTAACGTGTGTTACATGGTGTCTACACTGTGATGAACTTTTTTTTGACAGATGTGTATAATGTGAAGTTTTAAATAGATAAATCACATATGCTCTGTTATTAACTGTCAGGAGGTTTCAATAAATGAGTTCACAGGGACAGCTAGAAGTAGCTAATTATGTAGCATTAATTGAAAACTGACAATCATACTACTGACCCAAACAATTAAAGCAACAGTTTAGCTTCTAGATAGCTTCTAAAAATAAACCTTAACTTAGACTGACTGTGATCACGTTTGTTTTTTCTGTAGTTGCCAAGCACGACTTC